AGAAACAGGACTTCTAGTTCTTCAGACTTTGGAAGAAAGTCCTGGACTAGGATGATCTTATTAAGGCTGTATTTTCACAGGAAGTTGCACAAACACTCTGAGAGGCTGAGCCTGAGCGGTCAATTGGACCCTCTCAATTCTCTTTGTCTCTAACAGCAGTAAGTTGAGCCAAGAAAAAGCACAGTAATAAATACCTGAGAAGAATCTCTAAGCTTGCTGTAGAGCACCTATAAGGAAAGTTGCCAAGATGATGAAATCTTTATTCATTCAATTTAACCCAATTATTTATCAAAGAACATTCTTCCAGAGAGTTCTCTGGAGCATTTCATATGAATCACTCCCTCCGAACAGTAAGAAAGCAAATGATTTTTAAAAACAAACCTCAGAACCATAATGTATCGATACCAGCACGAAAAAGGCATCCCATTAACACTAGGTGTGCTGAGTATAAAAAGTTATCAACCTAAACAGAGGTAGACCAAAATGGAAAAAGAAAGTAGTGAAGCCATGTGAACATTCCCCATGGGGAATGCATTGCAGTACTACTGAATTTGATACAAAGAATCCACAAAAATGACTCCTGCCTCAAGAGAATGCCCACCAAAGCTACCTTGTCACTGATTCATCAATTCATTCAAACCATGTTTTTGTACAACTCTGAGTCTTCCCCACTCTATTACTAATACTCTCCAGTGCTCCTCGCACTGTATCCGATTCCACCTCAGAACACTCTTCCCGACTCTGTCTCACTAGCTACCTCACTTCAGTCAATGCTCCTGAGAAAAGACACTTCGCTGACCACTATCTGTGAAATACCACCCCATCCCATCACTCTCTAGCATGTTACCCTACAGTATTTTCCTTCAGAGCACATATCACTAAAATATTTGTTTACTGTCTGATCTCTCTTTGGTAGAAGGTACTCCACGAGCACAGGAATTTTGTATTTTGTTCTCTGTAGTATCTATACAATTTAGAACAGTGCCTGAAAAGAGACTACAGCATGAATAAAATACCTGTAATTCAAAGTCTAATAGGAAAGAGAGGCCTAAACTGGACAGACTTCATAAACAGAGCAATGTGGCAGCATAAGGAATCAATAAGCTCAGCCTGGGAGAGTGCAAACACTTCTTGGAAGAAGAGATGCAGAGCAGAATTGTGAAGGGAGGGCGGGATCTGGGTTATTCCAGGTGTCTCAGGCAGCATGTGGGAAGGTACAGATTGTAACGAAACCTCACACACGTGGGCAGCTGTAACAAGGTGAATGGTGAAAGGGACAAAAGATGAGGCTGGAACAGAAGGCAAGCAGATGTGCCAGGGCAAGAAGTCAGAATTCTTTTAAGCTCAGGAGCAGTATTTCAGAATTCTTTTAAGCTCAGAAGCAGCATTTTAGAAGGTCTCTTTGGAGGCAGTAGGGGGGTAGGAGAAAGGCTGAATGAAGGCAAATCTATAGTCAAGGTTATTTAGGAGGTTATTGCAGAAGTCTCTACACACAGAGAGAAACATGGATGTGAAAGACATCGATTGGTTGCCTCCCGCACATGTTCAGATCGGGACTGGGTATGGAGCCTGGTGCCTTGAATCTGAGGCCCTTCAGTCTACAGGTCAACACTCTATCCACTGAGCCAAACTGGCTAGAACTGGAAAGTGCCTTTAAAAAGAAAGCAAAAGGAAATTTTTTTCTAGGTTCATATCTCCCCTCTTCCACACATGTGCTAATAATTCCATGTATAGCTGTATCAATAAACTATACCATGTAACTAAAGACAGCCATTCATTCTGCTTTATCTCACAGTTCTGCTCCCCTTGGAATCAGCATCATTCCCATGGCACCCCTCAGCAGCTACAGGCTTAACTGAGCCTAGAGGAAGCAATCCCAGAGGAAAGTTCTGCAGTCCCAACGAGACTCACTAACTCCTAGAGATGCTCTGATCTGCATGGCAGGCCTGAGAAGAATGCCTAAGGCTGGAGCTGGAGATAGGGCCTCTCCAGCACATGCACAACATGGGAATGAGCCGTGGGGGAGGGCTGGTTCCTCAGGGAAACTCGGGCACCATTACCACCCTATGGGGAATGGATGCTAGGCAGACAGCCATGAAGAGTCCCACCGTCGCTTTCTGTTTATGGATGGATAAGGAATAACATTTACAGTGGCTCCTCCCCATTCCCGAGCTGCTCCCTATCTAAAGGGGCCCAGCTGGAGGAATAACAGCCCTAGGGCTCCATTCAATCCCCAACACATTCAACTTGCATTTCTCATCTTCACAACAGTCTGCAGAGGTTGAGAGCCATAACCTAACTTGCCCAGTGGTAACAAGGCGGTTCAGGTAGGCATGGGAATCTTGGCATGGACCTTCTTACTATAGTCATGCCGGTTAAAAGACCAATAAAAAAAGAAGAGCTCAGAAATGATCATGTTTCTTCCCAATTCCAAGCCCTCGTGTCTTTGTATTTCCTGTAGGATGAAGTAAAACCTTTTCATATCATCCAGTGACCCTGAGCCTCCCCCACCTCCTCCAACCTTGTCCCACTTTGCTTCCTGTGTCTAGCCATAGCTGAATGAATAATGCATGTCCTTAGAACACACTCTGAACTTCCAGGCTACAGTGCTTATTCCTGCTGATTCTTTCCAATGACCGGTTTACCACCTTCTTCCCATCTGATAATATCCAGCTGCCTCCCCTTCCCCTTTCCTTTCCTCCGTTTTTGGCTTTTCCTCACAGAAGTCTAGTTCAATGGATTCCCTTATCATCTTGTGTATCAACTTCTCATAGGACACACCATTTTATAATTATTTGGTATCTTATTCCTACCCTTGAACTGTAAAAGCTCCTTGAGGCTAATACTGTTTCTTTCAACTCCAGACCTAGCATATTTATGTGATACAGACTGGGGATTATGCTTAGTAAGGGAATATTTTGAAGACCAAAATTTCACTTCATTGGTGACCTTTCAACCTCTCATAAATTCTTCTGCTCTTTGTTTTCTATTTATCTCATGTTTATTTATTTCCCGTTTTTCTTTTGGGTTGAGTAATTCTTAGTATCCCATTTTATTTCTTCTGTAGGCTTTTTAGCTTTATTCTTTGCCCATGTTGTGTTTTTTATTGGTAATCTCTAAAAGTTATAATATGTATCCTTAAAGAATGCACTCTTAAATAAATTTTATGTCATTTTATATATGTCAGAACTTGTAAAACTTCTGTTAGAACTTACTAAAATATATCTTCATTTACCTACCTCTTATATCTATCTATAATATCAGCCCACAATACATTAAGCAACCATTCCTCAAAGAAATAAGAAACAAAGTCTATTAATAGTATGTACCCCCATATTTACTTTTTCTAGCACTCTTTATTCCTTTGTGTACTAGTAGATACAAGTTTCCATCTGGTATCATTTCCCTTCAGCCTAAAAAACTTCATTTACTATTCTTGTAGTGCAGGTCTATTGGTAATAAATTCTCTCAACTTTTTGTTTATCCTGTTTAAAGGATATTTTTGCTGAGATGTTGAATTCTAGTTCAGTGGGTACTTTTTCTTTTAGGACTTTAAATATGTCATTCCAGTGTCTTCTGGTTTGCATTTTTTAATATGAAAATGGAGATCATTTTTATTGTTACTCCCCCTAAATGTAATCTGTTCAGCTCAGCCTCCCAGTCATTGTTCTCTGTCAAGCCTCAGTCCCCTGTGCATAAGCAGCTTTGTATTGGACCAAACACTCAGTGTGATTCACAGGCAGAGCTTTTGTGTGTGTGTGTGTGTGTGTGTGTGTTTCTGCTCTTCATGGTTTCTTTCTCACTTCCTGCCCTCAAAACTCCAACCCCATAGCAGTTCTGAATTCTAATTTCTGTTTCCTCTGCCCAGCAAGACTGCTGCTGTCTTCTTGAGCTCTATCTCCTTGTGCCATGGTCTGAAAAATGCTCCCAGGTGGAAATCTGTTTTGGATTTGGTGCTCATTTTATTTATTTCCATGTGTCAGGATTCAAACCCTGTGTTGTTTCTGTAATGTCTGAAAACAGTTGTTTAGTTTATTTTGCCCAGCAGTATGATTGTTTGTGGTAGGGATATAAGTCCCCTTTGTCCATGGCTGTCAGCTGACAGTAACAACTAAAGCAGCACTTCTCCAGATAGAACGTTGTCAAGATTATGGAGTCATTCTTGGTTCTCTCTCTGTCACATCCAGTGTGACAGCACGTATTGTTGGCTGTACCTTCAAACTACTATATCTAGAATCCAACTACTTCTCAAAATCTCCAGTGCCACCAGCTGGGACGGTCCAGGCTGGGATGGGAACTATTGCAACAGCCTCCCAACACCTCCTTGCTTCTGCCCTGACTTTTGAATCTCTTCTTGATACAGCACTCCTGGTGATTCATTAAAGTGTAACTCAGAAAATGAACCTGTTCCAGTGGCATTTCCTCTCTCTCAGGGTATACATCAGAGCCACTCCTGACCTGGCCCGATCTCCCTAGTCTCCTACTTGTCCTTAACCAGCCCCCAGATTCCAGCCTCAGGGCTGTCTGTCCCACTTGCTCTCTATCCAAGACCCTCCCTTCCCAAGTATCTTTAAGCCTCCTTCCTTCCTTTTCTTTAGGTTTCTGCTCAAAGCCCCCCACCCCCACCCTGCCCTTTGTGACCCTGTTTAAAATTGCAGCTCCCCTTCTAATCCAGTTCTGTTTTGTTCTTGAAAACTTACCACCATCTCACCTACCATATCCATTTTCCTATTTGTTTGCTGCCTGTCTCCCCTCTCTAGAATGTAAGCTTCATGAGAGCAGGAGTTGGTGACTGTTTTGTTTACCATTGTCCTCAACCCTGTTGTGTTCCCAGGCACACAATAAATGCTTGCTGAATGGAAGAAAGGAAGAGAGAGAGGAAAGGAGGGAAAGTGGAAGGGAGGGAGGGAGGGAAACTAATTCCTTTTTTTTGAGGTGGAGGACAAACATAGACTATGGCAGGGGAAATGTGGAAATCTTATGAAACTTTTTGCACTTACTTGGCACAGCGCACCCAGTGTGTATGTCGGCACAAGGCATATAAGAATCGTTGGCGATACATGTTCCATACTTTGATGGATTTGTCTTCAGAAGCTGTAGCGAGATACTGGCCATCAGCAGAAAAGTCCACACTTCGAACCGGAGCTGTATGAGCTTTAAATTCAGAGGATTTCCCTCTCCTGGAAAGAAACAGTTCAATATTTACAACCTTTGATTTAAGTATAACCAATAGCTAACCAGTATATAGACTGAAACATAAAACAGCCTAACTCTTGTAAAACTAACACCAGTATGAAAAGGTTGTGTTGTACTGTATGCACTCTTCATCAATACTGCTTTTGTCAACTAAGGTTACCATGATACATAATAAGAGAGACCTTGGAAATGCATTTGGTCTCTATGTTTTCATTGGAAGCTAGGCAAATAATATTTTTGAACAAATCTTTACCATGCCTTTTAGGTTCCTGCCATTCCACTGTTCCACTAGAAATAGCAATACATAAGGAACCTCCACCCTAGAAAAGCTAATATTGATGAAATGAATAGCTCCAAGGCAATGTTTTAAAACTAGGGTCACAAGTCTGGGTTGGGAAGATTTACCTCCAACTTTCTTGTTTCTACCACCAGCAATGAGAACTAAAATCTGGGTGGATGTAAGGCCTGGCTGGCCTCAGGCCCAGTTTTACCTCAGAAGCAAAACAAAGGATAAATGGTAACAACATAGCACTTCTGTTCTCAACACCTTGAAATTTCAGATGCTTTTTTTTTTTTTCCTTAGCTAGGGTAGGAAAAAGAGAATAGGATAAATGGATGGAGAAAATAACACGTGGCATTTAAGGAGAAGCAAAACCTGTTTCTCTCTTAGTAAGCAGTAAGTTTTTTGAAGATAAAAATGATGTTTTATTTATCTCTAAAGATCAGAATGTAGCGCACTGTCAGACACATAAAAAGAGCTCAATGTGCTTTGTTGAATTCCACTGGAAAGAGGCAATACTTAAAAATCCTTAGATCCATCCTGGCTTATACTTCTAGTGGCCTAGGTGACGGTCATGATTCTACAGCAGGAATAACTAGTCAGCATCTAAAAAGATAGGAGGAGCATTGAGGGACTAGGTCAGTGAGGTTTCAGAGGGAGTTTTATGAGTTGAGGTCAGAGTACAGATGGGCCTGAATTCAGGTATAAGACCCAGAGAAAAACAAAGAAAAGCCTTGACATCTGCTATGACCCAGAAACCAAAAGACAGTTTCATCAAAATCAGCCCCGCTCTTCAGTTCTACACTGTGTACTGCAGCAGGCTAGCCTGCTTGCCTTCTTTAAAGATCTAAAAGCTTCTACTTTACTATCCTAGAACCCGCTACCATGCTATACAGAGGTCCCTATCCTGCCAGGGAAAGGGTATATGGGGGACCAAGGTGCCCCAGCCAATAACCAGCACCAAGGCCCTTGGCATATGAGCAAGGTGTTGGACCTGCCAGCCCTTCTGTCAGCTTAATGAAGCTGTAAAGTAATAGCCAACACCAAATGGGGCAGAATCATCCAGACAACCCACGAAATTGTGAGAAATGTCAGTTACTATATTTAGATACTGTGTTTTGAAGATATCTATATTTAGATACTGCTGTTATGCAGCAACAGAGAACTTGATGCATGAGTTCCCTTCCTATTGCCATGATCTGCTATTGCCCTGGCCCCACTATGATTTAAAAAGAGAAACAGGAGATTTCTGCACAAGCATAGTTGTTGTCCTTAGATCAGCCAGTGCAGATTAATGACGCAGTGTGCTTTTAACTCAGGTACCCCTCTATAGTTTGTTCACTGAAGTTTCCTTGAGTTAGTAATGGGTAACTGAGGCTGTGTTGTGCTGGCTCTCAATTCCCAAAACTAAGGATTTTAGGAAATGCTTCCCTTTTAAACCACAAACCAGTCTCTCTCCCTTACAATTTCCCTCTATATTGCATCCGTGTCATTATAACATGTCATTTCTCTTCAAGATTTTTTGCTGCCATCAGGATAACATTCAGGTTTCTGAGAATGGAGTTTCCATTGGGTGGTGGACAGGAAATGCCCTGTGAACTTTCTTTCATTTGGGAGTGCCTGTTCAGGCACAAACCAACAATCAAATCCTGCCACAACAGTCAGAAAACACTCAATTCTTACTCTATGAAGTATAATATTTACAGGGGGAAATGATGTGATGTGTGGGATCTGTTCTAAAAATATTACAGGGGGAAAAAAGGGGGTGGAGGGGGTGGGAACAGATGAAATAAGGTTGACTGAATACTGCTAATTGTTGAATCTGATCCATTTGATTATGGGTTTGGGAGTCTTTGTGCTATTGTTTCTTTTTTCAAGTATGTTTGAAAATTGCATAATTAAGACTTTAAAACTTAAAAAATAATTCATGGCTTAAATAATAATTGCTTAAAATATCAACTAAGGTTTAAAAAGTCTTAGTTTGGTTTGACTCTGTTCAACTAAGGTTTGATCAGAGAGGTTTGTTATAATGAGATAAGACCTTAAAACAAAAGCAATGATTTACACTTTCATAGGAAATTTTAACAAGAACATTCTGGAGCCTAATAATGAATGATATGAGTCAAAGAATAGTTCTGGCCCAGTGGTTTTTAATGGGGATCCAAAAGTCCCTAAAGATCCATGAAGGGACTTCAAAAGATTAATAAACTGTGCAATTTTTGGTTATACATGCCAATGTGTATATCTCTGGGGAGACAGTCCAAAGCTTACATTAGATTTACTAAGGGACTGATAACTACCCCCCACCCCAATACATATTAAGCATAATTTAATACATATTAAGCATAATTTCATGGTTAGAAAGTTTTCAAGTAAAAAACCTAATTATGAGTTCAAGATGAAGAAAAAATGCTTTGAAGCAGTTGGACTTGACACCTCGGGTGTGGCTCGGACTGAGTACAGGTAACCCGAAGTCTGGCCATCCCGAGAGGTACACCCGGAGCAGCCAGGGCCAGCTTTCCTTCACATTCCTAAACCCAGAGCATACCAGGTACTTGTTTCCTTACTTATCGGGAATCCAGAGTCTAACAGTTCTGTCTCGTGAAGAAGACGCCAGTAAATTTCCAAGTGGAGAAAACTGCACGCTGGTTACAACGTCCTTGTGACCCACGTATCTGAAAGCTCTAGCTTGTGGCTTGAAATGCCATAGCATGAGAAATGTGTCCCAAGAAGCAGTAGCTATCAAAAACAGAAGAATAAAAACACTGTTAGTTAAATTTTAACATGTAGGCATATCTCATTACAATGGGCAGCTTATCTAACAACAAGATGTCCAGATAATAGAGGGGCTAAAGGTTGAAAGGCTGACCAGGTAACAGCAAAAAAAAAATTTTTTTTTAAATATATTTTATTGATTTTTTACAGAGAGGAAGGGAGAGGGATAGAAAGTTAGAAACATCGATGAGAGAGAATCATCGATCAGCTGCCTTTTGCACACCCCCTACTGGGGATGTGCCCGCAACCAAGGTACATGCCCTTGCCTGGAATCGAACCCGGGACCTTTCAGTCCGCAGGCCGCCGTTCTATCCACTGAGCCAAACCGGTCCCGGCCAGCAAAAATATTTTTAACAGAAACCGAAAGCTATGCCATAAATATGCAAGCATGGCTGTGTTGGGTTAGAGCTCAATGACCATTTACTAGAAGAACGCAGCACAGCACACCAGAGAACACAGGACTAGGAATCAGTGCTGTCTCTAACTCCCAGGGCTACTGATGGAAGTTACTTAACCTCTTGGTCATGAGGACTGAATGGTTTTCTGGAGAGGGCTGGATGAGATTACTTCTTTTAAAATTGTTGTGTCTTTGTTTTTTGTGTGTTTTTTTTTGTGTGTGTGTGAAAATAATTTCACATTTATAAAGTTACAAGAATAATATAAAGAACATTAAATACAAACTACCAGATATGAACCTCTTGTTACTATTTTGACACATCCTATATAATAAAAGCCTAATATACTAAGTGTCTGGTCTGCGGTTCAACCAATCAAAGCGTAATATGTTAATGATATGCTAAGGCCACTCAAATGCTTGCTATGGTGTGCAAAGACCACCAGGGGGCAGATACTCTGACCAGTAGGTTAGCTTGCTGCTGGGGTCTGGCCGATGGAGACTGAGCGAGAAGGGTCAGACACACGCTGGAATCCTCCCACAGTCCCTCCCCAGCCGGCCAACCTCTTACAAACCCACCCCAACCCCGATTGTGTACCTGTGGGGTCCCTCTCACAATCCGGGACCCTTCGGAGATTTTGGAGAGCTCGTTTCGGCCCGATCCCACAGGCCAGGCCGAGGGACCCCCCTGGTGCATGAATTTGTGCACTGGGTCTCTAGTTTAATTTATAATTTGCTTATGTTCTCTCTTTCTCTATTCAAGTATGCACACAAACACAGGTTTTTCTCTCTGAACGATTTGGGAGTAAGTATATACATCATCATGGCACTTTGATTCCTAAATACTTCAGTGTATTTTTCTAAGAATAAGGGTATTCTCTTGCATAGCACAGTTATCAACTTCAGGAAAATTATCATTGACAATACTTGAATCTACCAATGTATTCCAATTTTGTCAGTTGGCCCACTAATGTTTTCTTTTCCCCTCTCATCACCATTTATACCCTCTATGGCCTCCTCCACCTCCACCCTCTCTCCCCACCAATCCTCTCTAGCAATCACCAGATGAGGATATGTAGAGAGAGGGAGGGAGGGACACACAGAGAAAGACATTGATGTGAAAGAGAAACACTGATCAGTCATCTACCATGAGCACCTTAACTTGGGGATAGAACCTGCAACCTATGTACATGCCTTGACCAGGAACTGAACCCCCAACCTTTTGGTACATGGGGCCACTCTCCAAACAACTGAGCCACCCATCCAGGGTCCTTAATGTCTTTTATAGCTAGACAAGATTAATTTTAAAGTTTCCTTCTGCTCTGTTAGTTTATGAAATTCTACTATTAATAAAAGAATTATCTGTCAGACATTAGCTTACAGCTTTATGAAAAAGGAAAACAAATGCAATCAATGGGGAACTAGATGCCTTGGACAAAGAATGAACAAACAGCCTTGGCTGGGGTCAGTTGGCTGGAGCATCATCATCTGTGTACCAAGAAACAGTTGGGGTTCAATACCCGGTCAGGGCACATACTTAGATTGTGGGTTTGATCCTTAGTGTGGATAAGTAAGGGAGGCAACCCATCAATATTCCTCTCATATCAATGTTTCTCTCTCTCTAAAAAATTAATAAAAATATATCCTTGGTGGAGGATTAAAAAAAAAAAAAAAAGAATGAACAAATAAATGAAAGTTTGGTCTAACTCTTGGCTCAAAACTAAACTTTACATATACATGTAACCCCAATAATAGTGATCCGCTTAATGAGAATCACTAAATCTAGACTGTAGAATGCTTAGAAAAAAATGAAACTTTATAAAATTTAGATGCAATTAATATTACTGCAGATAGAATATATATAAAATCACTAAAAACCCTCTAAATTCTTTAGCCACAGATAAAATTCATTTGGGCTTACTTATTACTTAGCCTATGCATTGCTTTCATGTAAGACATAAAACAGTTAAAGTGACTTTATACGTTTCAAACTGTAATGCTGTCTACTACTCCCATTTTAAAAAGTACAAAGAGCCGAAACCTATTTGGCTCAGTGGATAGAGGGTCAGCCTGCGGACTGAAAGGTCCCAGGTTCGATTCCGGTCAAGGGTATGTACCTTGGTTGCAGGCACATCCCCAGTAGGGGTGTGCAAGAGGCAGCTGATCAATGTCTCTCTCTCATTGATGTTTCTAACTCTCTATTCCTCTCTCTTCCTCTCTGTAAAAAAACAATAAAATAAAAAATTTTAAAAAGTACAAAGAGTTGATGTTCTACCACAGGTCATCAAATTATTAAATATTTATATCAGGGTCCGAATTATTTGAGGCAAATATAGACAAAATAGGAAAAACAATGACTTATGATATGCTTTATACTTAGGGCTCAATTTGAATTCTAGTGTATTATGTTGCAAATAAGATTTACAAAAGGAAAATAGGACACAATCCTCAAGGAATCACAATATTGTAGGGGAGAACGTTCATTCATACATGTTCAGAGGACTTTTATATATAATATTATTCAGTCTTAATATACCAGGGGTGGGTATGGTCCTTTCCAAAGGACATGTGAGCAGACATCTGAGTGAAATGAGTGATCCGGGCTAAGAAATGGAGAAAGAACAATCTGGGCAGAAGACACCCACGTACAGGGCCCGATACAATAATGCACTTGAAGATCAAGGAGCAGTAAGGAGGCCAGAGTGTCCACAATGGAGGGGAGGAAAAGAGAACACTGAGATGGAAGTGGAGAAGCAAGCAAGATGCCAGCCAAGGAGCCGTGGTAACAGGTGTGTATTTGTTCTAAGTGCAAGGGGAAACCATTGAAGGATTTTAAGCAGAGAGATCTCATGAACTGATTTAAGAAAACTGCTTCTCTAACAATGAGAAAAAGATGGTCTTTTCAAAAAATAGTGCTGGATCGACTGGATATATATCGTGTGTGTATGTGTGTATTAAATAACTTGACTCCTACATTTTATGCTATCTATATGGCAATAATAATAATTCCAGTTAAATGTGATAAGTAAAACTATAAGCTTTTAGATAGGAACATAGGAGAAAATTTCCACCGCCATTATGATAGGCAAATATTACTTAAACAGGACATGACAATTATTAAATTATTAAAGGAAAAGAATAATAATTGGTATTACACTAAATTAAGAAATTTTGCTCATGGAAGAACACCACTAAATAACTAAAAAGGCAGGCCACAGAGTGAAAGAAGATATTTACAATACATACAGCCAACATATAACAAAGAATCTATAAAATTCCTACAAATTAATTAGAAAAGGCAGGAAAACAGGCAAACAGCCTAAAAAGGCATTTCATTAAAGAAGATATCCAAATGGCCAATAAACATAAAAAGATACTCAATTCCATTAAGTCACCAGAAACATGCAAATTAAAACCCCAATGAGGTATTACTACACACTCATCAGAATGGCTATAATATTAATAATAAAAAAAGCAATACCAAATCTAGGTGAGGACGTAACAATTGGAACTCTCATATAATACTGATGGTTATAACCACTTAGAAAAATTGTTTTTGAAATATCTACTACAATGGAATAGCATTTATCATCTGATTCAACAATTCCACTCCTAGGTAGAAATTCTTATATAATACTAATGGCCTGGGGCATGGTTTCAGGCACACGGAAGAAAAATTAGGTGACTGGTGGGGCGGGACTGGGGAGTACAGGCTGGACATGCCCTGGAGCCAGCCGGGCAGTGCCACGGCTCAAGGGCGTCTGTGGTCACCGCAGTTGGGCAGTAAACCAGATTTGGGGCCAACAGTGCCCCAACAACATAACCAACGGCCAAAGGTAGAATCACGCAGTGCCGTGAAGAACTGGGCTCCCTCCTCTCTGGTTCCGGGGTGCATTACCACCAACAGCTGCTGCCAAGTCACTGCAGCTCGGCAGCTCCTGCTTTAAGCGTCTGCCCCCTGGTGGTCTGTGCACATCATACCTACTAGTTGGTCAGATGATTGATCAGGCAGTTGCTTAGCCTTTTATATATATAGAAGATATGTTTAGCAAAAGACATACAGTAGTAATGTTTGTGGCAATACTATTAAAAATAGACCGAAACTAGAAACTCAAACATCCATCCAAGTAAAATGGATATATAAATTGTGGTACATTGATACTATGTACCTATTGTGTAATTAAAGTTCATTTATATCAAGTTCAAGAAGTAGTAAACTGATCTATGGAGTCAGAAGTCCAGATAGCGATTATGTGAGTGGCAGGGAGGGAGGACAGTAGCTGGAAGGGAACACAAATGGGGGCCTCTGAGAATACTGTAATCTTGAGTCTCTTCTCTGGGTATTGCTATTGCAATAACTGAATCAGGGGAAGGTGGTGGTCTGGATTAGAGACCATGGAAGGGGAAGGTACATGGTCAAGATAGAGCCTATGAGGCTTGCTAATGGATGGATTAGATGTGAAGGAAAAGCAAAGAGAAGCAGCAAAGATGCCAGGCTTCTGGCCTGGCAACCCAGGTAAATTTCAGTGCCATTTAATGAGACTGCAAAGACCAGAAGAGGAGGGAATTG